GACTAGTAAACATTACTGGAGCTTAAAACGCATTTAAAACTTTCTGATGAAGGTGGTAAGCGCCTGATTTGGCCTGGATGAACCTCCCTCTAGTTCCTCTCACGTGTCCAAGACAAACAGTCTGGAAATGAGATTAGATTAATTGATTGGCACGACGCCTATTCCCTGTCTAACGCACACCACATAAGAAATAGAATCCAATGTCATCAGAATCGAATGGAGAAGGACTCCTTATAAACTGACCATCAATCCTAGATAGAACCAAGTCATTGTGTCAGTCGGCTACCTTCCAAGGCATGATTTTTATAGGCAGATGAACATCACCAACACAAGCAAGAGAGACTAGAACGGTAATGTTTGGTTCAGTAGCCATCATCATTCAGCTATACTCAACCCCAGATGTGGCACCACCCGAGGCTCGAGCTCGCGACTTGTTGATTAAAAGTTCAGCGTTCTACCTCATTGAGCCACGGACTCCTTTCCTTGTCGGTTTCGATGGGGAATACTAACATCGGTGAATAGGCGCAGGGCGTTTATTGGTTCGTGATAAGTTCGAGCATGAAAGGAGTGCGCCGAACGGTCATGCTAAAAAGGAACCTCAGTACCACGCACCGACGGCCTGTCTGAACCTTTCTTCTGACTGGATATGAGATTGGGCGCTGTGACTGAAGTGACATAGAGCTGCCGCCCAACGCCCGCCACGCCCATGTACGGCAGTTAATTGATCTTCATGAAGACAGCAAACAACGCAAGCCATAAACCAATGCGTCCGCCATTTTAGTTAAACACAACAGTAGCGCAACTCAATTGGGGAACTGATCAATGCTTGCTAATAAAACGATGTGTGCATTCATTGGGAGAATATGGTTCACACATTAACCTTAACCAATGTTATTTGCCTCAGTGAACCGAAGTCCGTAAATGTCAGCCTTTATCGATGTAGTTCATCCTGTTAAAATATTCTGTAGGGCGGGGGGCGCAAAGGAGCAATCCACTGCTGGATTCACAAGGCACGCTGATAAGGACACTGTGTTAACGGTTACCTAAGATGTACCCACCGGACGCCTCATCCTTCATGACGTAGGATACTTTCTTATTCCTTAAGATCTTTCTGTTTCGCTCGTAGTAGATAACAACTGCTATTATTAATAGTTTATTGGTACTTCGAATGTGTTGTGTGTGATTCGGTTTTTTGACTTTGAGATGTGTACAGTTACGCCAACATTCTTCTCGGAGTTCTAAAAGCATGTTTCCGATCCGGACCAGCCGATTGTGTTCCACTGACTAAGAGTCAGTCCGAATTTAGTATCCGGAACCGACGTTTTCGAAGGCCCGATTCCCGCTTATACATTTTCGATCCTAACTAAATAACGAACTTTGGCCTTGGGTAGTTTTTGGAGGCTTGTGGGTCTAATTTCTATCTTACCCTTCTGTATGCATTTGACATCCATACAACGACACTGAATTTCTCGTCCGATCACCTCTTCGGATGAATGCTGGGTTAGTAAGGCCAGCCAATCATAGACGTCAGCTAGATACCTATCCAACGCTGATAGTGAAATGTGCGCACAAGAGTTCACTACTAGCGCCCAACTCTGATTGGCTGGCACACGTCCCTGGCGAGCAGCCAACGCACACCGTTTGTTAGG